TCGGATGCAGCGTACCCGTTCTGCCTACATTCTCTGCAGGACCCGTCGTCGCTTCGGTAGTGGTCCTGAGTTGACTCGCTCATTGCTCACCAAGCCTGCCTGACCCAGGCACTCGGGACCGCATGTGCTACAGCACCATGCGCTTGATGTCGATGGAGTACAACCCATCGGTGCTTGCCGCTTCCGCACTTACCGCTTCTTCTCTGCATGTATGACGTCTTTCTCCCACACTTCGGCAACTGCCTTCGTGATCAGATCGCGCCATGCACGCCGATCAACCGAATTCGATTCCCCAGACCTGCAATCAAGATTAGAACTTGAGAGGCTCACTTTGATCATGTCCTGGTAACGTAACTTTAATTTCCCCACATGCCGCTTCCCTATACTCAACTGGCCATTTAAAAGTTTTTTCGGTATCCGCGTTGAATCCATACGGCTCACATGACCGATCCACCTCAAGTGTCTCAGTTAAGTTACGCAGTCCACTGCATACATTCCACTTCGGCACAACACTTCTGTGTCAGCAACTCTGTCGCCCCAACCGATGCGCAGTATCCGGCGCAAACACTGTTGATGGAACCGCTCGAGATATCGCACATCCCGCCGGTACATCGTCCACGTTTCACTGCCGTATAGAAGAACGGACAGCACCATGGATTTGTACACCATCAGCTTCGTGCCAATGGTAAGCTGATTGTTGTTCCACATTCAGTACTCAAGCTTCCCGAACGCCGCCGCTGCCTTAGACATGCGGATACGAAGCTCACTGTGCACCTGCTGATCAGTCGGGTGGTTGGCGAACAGTCATCAGTCGCACGATTATTCCAGTTATTTCACCCACTAGCTGGTCTTTTACTCGATCGGATATTGCAAATCCGACACCAAGTCTATGTGGTGCTGAGGTGGCGTTTGCCACCCATTAGAACGTATAGCCGGCGGCAGCTTCCTGCAATTTATTTTGCTCAGCAACCCGGGTATCACTAGGCGCCGCAATTTCGATGTAGCGCGCCAGTTTCATCACGAGCAGTGTAGTGCGCCGCTTTGGAAGCTTACTGGTATCTTCGCGAGCAAAGTGCATACCTTCCAGCACCTGAGGTTGAGCGCTTTACGCGGACGCATACGATGATATTGGTCAATAACCGTATGAATGGTAATCACCTGGATTTGAGGAGGAGGATTATAGGTGCGGAACGACAGAGGCCGACAGGGTGTACTCCATCGACTTCGAGCGCATGACACTGTAACAAGTGCGATCGAGAATGCCTGAGTAAGGCAGGCCTGGTGTGCCACATGCGACGGTCACTCTGGACCAGCATCGAAACGACGACGGATCCTGCTGAGAACGTAAGCAGAATCGGTACCGCGTTGGTAGGTACACTGCACTCGTTTTACCAACCGCGAGCTTCGGTGCTGCATTCATATTGTTTTAGGTCATCGGTTTGCCATATTTTGATAACACTCATTTTGTTATGTCATTTTTGTATCTGAATAACCTTTTATTTAGTTAAACACGTAGCTTAAACGAAAGGTGGTTAATTTTGTTAAGGTTATTTAACTTTTATCTATTTTTCTTCCGTCTTCAGTTTCTCGTGGAGTTGATGATAACGATTATATTTCATATGCCAATTTAGTGAAGAATTAAGTCGGCGTAACCGTATGACTTACCCGAGTTATTTTATGTGTTATCGTTGTTTCAAGTTATTGCTCGTTGCTTGACATCCCCAGTGTGGTTGAGTTTGATGTGCAGTTTGACAAAGTGCCTACCTGTCTATTACACACTACCTCGTCTATACTGGCCGCAGACGACATTTTTTCTTTGCTGCAGGCGACGTGATACACGGTACTCGTGACCGCGTTAGGCTCAAAGTGTGGTGCTACGCTCATGGCTAGCGTGTAGAGAAGACTACTTCCCAGCCACCGCTTTGTGTAGGTCACGTTCGCATGACTCCCTACATAGATAGATAGGAATGCTGCTGTTTCGCCTGTTAAAAAAGTGCGGGCCGGCTCTGTTGCTGAAATGTGGCTCCCATCCATCTGCCTCCCGGTCTTATTCCTTCTGGTTTACACTGGATACTGAGTGTGTGGTTGGAGCTGTGCTTGGCACAGCGCAATTCCCCCATGGTCCCTTTGTAGGCGCAGACGTCCTGCGGCTGTCCCTATGAAGGCCGCTGTGACAGGTAAATCCGGATCCGGATGCCGCCATCCGTATATTGTCCAAACAATCTTCTGGTAACTCCGTTAGATAGTTCGGCCTGTCGTTACTTATGCCAGCTTAACTGTGTTTCCTTTTTCTTGATCACTACGAACTAGTCAATATTCAGCTACGGAAGCGTTTTCCTATGTAGCCATTGATTGGTATAGGACGCTATCATAGGACACCATGACGTTGCACTTTGAATTTGTACCTGGGATCAATAACCTCACCTATCCAACATTCACCCTGATGTTCTACTAGCCAATACCAAATAAAAATTCTGCGCAGCCTTGCGACCCATCCGGACAGACAGAGTATGACCAATTTCTTCTGCAGTTTTGTTAACCAAACAGTTGACAGGATTGATTGGATATATTTGAATGTTGCACTTCCCAACACTGGCACACCACGACCGCGGTTGCGTCCTGGTTTAGACTCTGCAGGTTGAGATAGCCTGAGCTGGGATGGAACTCAGATCTCAGTAGTTCACGGTTGACGCGCTAAACACTATGCTACTGACATCCGGGAACAACGGTTTGTACAGCGGAAAGTAATTCAAAGCTGCATTTAAGAAGCACATGGTGTGGTTGGGTTGAGACTCGCAACCTCTATGGACCCCTCGGCTTACTTTGAGTCGCAAACCAACCATACCGTGTGCTTCCTATATTCAGCTTTAAATTAGTTTCCGCTGTGCCAAGCGTTGCTCGCGGATCCCACTGACATAGTGTTCAGTGCGTCAGCCATGAACTACTAAGCTCTGAGTTCCACCCCAGCTCGGGCTATCTCAATCTGACGAGTCCAAACCAGGACGAAACCGCGGCCGGAATGTGCCAGTGTTGGGAAGTGCAACACCCAAATATTCCCATTCCAGATACGGTCCACGAGATCGGAATGACAGAGGTTTACCTCAACGCGAACGGAAGTCTCAAGAGAGCTTGCGAGTCGCAACCCAAGGACACAGCCTGCTCCCTAAATTCAGCTTTGAGTTGACAGGTACTTTTCAATAATTTTTTCAGGGTAACTAAAATGAAGCTGTATCGACCCATGTGGGCGCAGTTACAGCATCTTCCCACAACCACTGCGTAATATAATATCTCAAAGCGTCCATGAGAAATAACAACTGAGGATGGCAAACGAAAAGCAATCTTTGGCATGATCAAACATTTTTCTTTGTATTTAATTGAAAGTAAGTTTGCAAAAGCCTGGATTGCGCTTGCTGATTCGTAGAATGCGTAAACTATAACCTCATCCATCTGAGATAAATGAATACATAAATGCTTTATTATTTACTTCCTGGTTAAAAAAAACAGAAATTTGGTCGGGCATTCCTAATTCAACCGCTATGCCTCAGTGATCAAGGAAATGTAGCTAGTACAACATTAATATTTTGCGATCGGCTGGCCAAAACCACAGAGTACATAGCGTTATTATTTTTCCTGTATTTTGAGTGCGGCCGTTCAGAGATGAAAACTTATACTAGGATAAATGTGCTTCCTCATTAGATTCAGACATGAAGTACCCCATGGTATAGCTTCTGATTTTTAATTTTATTTACGTTGCTTTCTTGAGGCATTCCTTACCAGTTCCCGCCCGCTTGCCTTGGTGCTAGTAGCGGATACATTAAATGAACTATGCTCAAACAATGTCTGGTAACAGAGCCTCCGACGCGTAACTCTCCTGGCTAGTAATTTCCGTTCCGAAGGATAGACTTTATGTGCTCCGTAAATATTCAACTGTTTGGTACGCAGTGAGCGATTATCGCACCAGGTAAACGGAGTCGATAGAATTGATGCTGTCGGCATGTCTTCGATTGGTTGCTCATTATAGTAACTACGAAGGATTCACACTGACTTCTTCATGCTACATTGTGTGAATTGGGGCGAGCAAAATATGCACATAAGGAGTCGCAACTATTACAATGAGGTTGAGTATTTTATTCTTTGACTTACTTACCTACCAGCCGAAACTTATGAAAGCTTTACGGACTTTCCACTGAGGTGTTTGTCGATGTTTGCTTATATCTGACATGTTCGTCTGCGAATAATACTTTTGATAGTTAGTCTCGTTCAGTAGGTTATCGTGTTCTTTTACAACATCTCAGTGTTGTGTTTTTCATCCGATTCGTGCATGGTAAGCAACTATTATTTGTGAAGAGCAACTACACATGAGGGACTGCAACAGCCAACTTAGCTGCGTAATCAGCTGCGGAAAATTTCCACTCAATTGTGAGTAAATATACTGAGAACTTTGTGTAACCATTGATAGTCCACGGAGCAACGTCCGTCTTTAAGATAAGAAGTGGACAGAAACTGCATTGTGTTCGTCTGGTAAACTGATCATGCTGATATCAAAGGAAATATTGAAAAACAGTCCGCACACGAATGTCAGACGTAATAGCTTAAAATTAAGTCAAGAATACAGTGGTTTAGATTGTTGATGAACACACTACTCCCTCCGATCTTGCAAACTTTGTAAATCCCATACAAACTCAGTTGTCGGTGTATAGCTTAACCACTTTCCAAAAACACTTGGACATCGCGCTCAGTTGCCTACAGTTTGCCATATAAACGTTCACTCTGGAATGTATTTTAGCCGACTAGATTATTTAGAATTATAATTCACAATAAGGCTAGCAAATCGGAGCAGGCAGAGGAGCCAACTGATTATTCTTCATGAGAAGCATTACCCATACTAACGTTTTATTCCGTTTTGCATAGTGTCAGCACATTCCAAAACCCCGCTTCTAATGTGTCATTGTTCTGTCGCCTCATGAATGCGTAGTTTATTTTTCCACCTTTTTTTTCTTCGAATATACAATTTCCTCCCCTACAAAACTACAAGAGCTGTCAATCATATAGTTTTTCCCATCAGAAAACACTTTTCCATTTAACCAATATCACCTTCATCACCACTAGTAAGAAAGGACTAGGATGCTAGAAACAAATGTGTCTATAAGTAGCTAAATTAGTGCTTTATGTCATTTCCATCACTCGTATCGGCGGCTACCGCGTTTAAGTTTGCATAGACTCATGTCATTTTGTGTTGAACAGTTATAAGCTAACGGTCGAAACCTTGTCGACGCTTCTTGGGGAATGGAATATACCATGAGGTTCGATTGTGACGAAGAGTGCTCCAGCGACCTAGTTGTCAACCGTATCCAAAGACTGGTAATGATGTAATCGGCCATTCGAGCGAGAAAATCACTTAGCTCCTGTCCGATCACCTACCTGGCAAGCCAGGTAAATTGAGGCGAGTGATGCCGGAAATGAAGTAGGAGTTAGGTGCTAAAACCTGATGTTTCTCTTTCATCCAGCTTACTAGAAATATCACTAGCTGCTTGCTTGTGCATGTAAGATGCCTAACGGGATCAAGTGCGCTTTCCGCCAACTCGGCCGAACGCTGGGCCGTAGAAAACAGTGAGATAAGCACAGCACACGGCCGCTCCGATGGCCATGAGCGCTTTGTGTTTGACTGAGAAATGATTTTATTTCTCACCACTAAACTCCTCAGTTAGCACAACCGTGCTGAAAGACTGATGACTTTTTGTTGCTCTTTTTTTAAGATGAACCGTATTCATTATTTTAATCGACTCGAAAACAAAAATAAACTCATGTGTACTTTTTGAATAGATGCAGAGGAGCTCTTCTGGGGGCACTTTTCCGTATTTCCTCAAGGCATGCAAACAAAAATGACTATCCTCAAAATTTTTCAGGCCAACATTTGAACGTCTAGTTAGATCGTCGGTGCAGGCCGCATATCAGTCATCGTGAAATCAGATACATAAATAAAATCAGAAATACAAAAATTAGGACTGCGTATAATGTTCCCATTTCAAGGGCTGGGGGAAGCGTAATTGGGTGATCCGTGGTTGTCGTAGGCTGGTCCGGGACACGTGACATTTGTCCCCACAACGATTCACAAAATGGTAGACTCCAGCCTTGAAAAAGTACCTGCAACGGAACGACAAAGACAAGAAACATTTTGATAATCAACTCAAAATACTGGTATAGAGAATAACCACGTTTACTGGAAAAACACATGCAACCCAATAGCACTTCTCACTGAGCAGATCCCTAGTTGAAAATTCGGTGGACATCTGTCAACTGTCGACTTAGAGTCACAGGATGGAATCAATATAACTAACGTGGACCTAAGCATTTCACATTCCTCTATAAAGCATATCCAGTTCGGACCACGAGGTGCAGTAGTCATGTACGATGAATACTTCTCGTACAGTTGTCTACTGCAATTTGCACCACAAAAGATCAATAATTCAACCAAGCTTTGTGAACTTGGTACATACTGACCCTCAAAATACTTCTCACAATGGAATTGTTATGGGGTTGCTCATTCCAACACTGGCACCCCACGACCGCGGTCGCAACCTGGTTTGGACTCATCAGGTGGAGATAGTCTGAGCTGAGCTGGAACTCAGAGCCCAGTGGCTCATGGTTGACGCCATAAGCACTGTGCCACTGAGATCCGCGAGCAAAGCTTGGTACAGCGGAAACGAATTCAAAGATGGACTTGGAGAATCCGTTTCTTGAAACTCCATTGTCTGATAGCTGGAATATAGGAGAAGAAAGTGAAACCTACCTAACACATCTTCGCAAGGATTATCCTTGGTTTAGGGAATCAACCTAAGGAGATGTGTGCGAGAGACTAGAACCCTACACCTTGTCCCATTAAGGTGTTTTACAACGCGGTTACTCCTGCATGTGGATGCGTTTCTGTACCTGCGTACGGCACTTGTCATAGGCGACCATTGGTAAAAGCTTGCGGTCCCAGACCCAAAACGAGTTGCCCACTTCTTGTAAGTTGAGAGGGGAACGAACAATGCTTGGATTAGTCTGCTAAGGTAAGTAGGGAAAACCAAATCTGTGCAAGAGTTCAAAATTTCGTGCATTTACATTTCATTAATATTCGCTCCAGAGGAAGACTACAAACTAATAATGAAATCTCCCATCTGTTAACACTGCTTGATTGTGGGTCAGGACGGACAGTCGTTAACAGTTGTGAACAGGCTGCCAAAGAGGTAGAGGCTCTAGCTAGTATTCCAATGGTCCCAGGTTCGAAGCCTTCTATCTCCAGCTGCTGAGATCAAACAAGATTGAAATGCGTTTTTGTGTGCAGTGTATTCAAGCGGACAACACCCAATCGCCATCGGATTCAACTACGGTCCTAGTAATTGAATTGCCCAAGGTTCTCTTCAATGCGATTCACGGTCCACATTGAGATTGCCCGTCGCAATCCAACCACACAACGTGTACTCCAAAATAGTCCTCAAATCCATTTGTCAAAGTTGATTTCCTTGATAATTATGCGGCAATCGATGCACTACTGCCCGCCCAAATGGATTATGAAAATTAAAAATTTCTCTTCTATTCAATGAGAGGGTCACAACACATAAATGATGAAGTTCTCGGCGAAAATGTCTAGCATTGTGTATCGCGGCTGTTCGATACCCGAGAGATCAATTACACTCAAAGATGAACATCTTTATGTACAGCTGTCTACCCACGACCTTGGAATCAGGTATTTTCGCACTTTCAACTTCTCCGAATAAAATGATTACCAGCTGGCCAGGGCCAGAAAGTCACTAGTTAAGATAACGTATAACGTCTACATAACCTCAGCCGGAGTAGAACTCTTCAAAATATTCACTCGCCTCATTTTGGAATATTGCAGTATCATTTGTGGCAGAATGAAGAGATCTGACAGAGTATCTCTGGGAAGTATCAAAGGTCATCTACCAAACGTCTGCTGGGCAAAACATCCACTAAGGAGTCTCGGGAGCGCTTCCAACGGTTCCAGCTCAATACGCTTTGGCTACGAAGATTGAGGCATAATCTGATGCTTCTGTACAACATGACACATCTAAACGCCCACTGCTGTTTGCCTTACTTAGAATTACAGCATAGTTCGACAAGGGAGCCACACAAATGGAGTTTATCCTGAGTATACTCATGTTCAGGATAAATCTGCGGTCTAACTCTTTCCTTATCAGATATGTTGTTCTGTGGAATAAGCTCGCAGTCACAACCACGTCGTGTGAGCGTAACGGCCTTTCGCGCTAAGCTCGCCAATTACATAGACTTGAATATGATTATGACGCTGTTCCCTTGGGAGAGATCACGTAATGTTTGTTCCAACAAGGGCCTGACAACTTCTGATGAGTAAAACAAGCAAAAGAATTTTACGCAGTATGATACATCGCTTGTGCCTTTATCATCTACTAATCCGACTAGTGCACATTGCGCTAAAGCGCACTTGTGGGTAAATACATACACTTGAAACAGCAAAGACAATGGAAATTACACAACACTGTACCACTTATAAGAGCATGACAATTTTAGTAAAATATATGCTATGCCAAATATGGACACAGGTTCTCACTCGCTGAGAAGTATACATAATTTTATTATACATCCGGAAAAGTTTTGGGTGGCGATGCTGATTCTTTGGTGCGCGTCAGGAGGGATAACTAGCCTAATCCTGTTAAACCGCCACTTCTTTACCCACATTATAAGCCGTATTGCAATTGAGCATGAGCCGGGTTTTAACTCAGATACTCGTGCGCTATGATGGTCGGCCGCAGTCACACATAGGGCAGTAGGTTAAGTCGCTGATCGAATTAAAGGAAATTCGGGGGAATCAAATTACTGAATACTGAGAACAGACAGCGAGAAAAATGTGTTGCTGCATCGTAGGCGTATCAGGCACATGCGCGGAATCACGTCGCTGATTCATGAGCGGTGGCAGCATATCGTAACTGCCCTATATATTAACCGGGTGCGATACGCTCCCTATACCTGTAATCCGCAAAGTGGGCGTCAAGGTATCTCGTAAATTCCGACACCGTTTTCGCCATTTGCAGTGGACCTAAAACCTATCCAAGGCTTTCAGAGTTGAGTGGCTACTATATGCTTATGCTTAGTAACAGTGAACAGTTTCACGTGACACATCTCCCCTGTTGCACTCTGGCCATGAAACTGCTTCTTTGGTGGCATTGACCACCACAACTTTGAAATTACGGAACGGTAAATTAATGATACTTAAAAATACTTAGTAACAAACAAGTTTGGAAGCGCAGGTGTGTGAGCAAGGCGTAATCCAGTATAGATACTCTCATCATGGTAAAATTTTGCAAGCATTGGCCCGTCTGTGAGTTTTACTCGAAGTAAGTGAAACGAATAAGATTGGCGGAATGGTTGGAAATGTGCATATCCCAAGATCGACAGTAAAGCAGCACTGTTACATACTCACAAGGTTCAAAGAGTACTAACGACAACACCGCAAATTTGAGCCGTCCATTATCCGACAGATAATAGATATGCTATCTTGGAGGCCACTAGTCTCACACCGGTTCGCTTAAACATTGTGCGGTTTCAGTATACAGGTGGACATCGGATAGGATGCAGTCCTTATTGAGGGAAACGCTTGGCCCATGCAGTGATTGTAGGATCGTGTGACTGAGTCAGATATAGTACGTTTACATGACATCTATCTGAAGAACCTAGCCTGGGAGGTAGATGCAGGTTATCCGTGTATCTGTTGATTTCATTCGTTCTCTTCTACTCGGCCACACTTACTCTGTGACCCACATGCAAGCACGTCTATCAGCGATAAGAGGCTATCGGACACTGCTTCATACATCTTCATCCGTACTTCCATACTTTCTCATTTTGCCTGTAACACACATACGTAACGACTTGCAATGCGAACCACTACATGATCCGGAGATACGGATAACCGATTCCCCATGGTGCCGTTTGCGTCTCAGACACACCGACAACTGCTTCGTGGCAGTTTATATATCGCTCCCCATCGTCCACTCCAGAGATGCATTCTCCCCTTATGTCAGCAGTGAAGAAATGATTACACCCAAAGTACAGCCACGTTCTTATTTCCGACCATCTCAACGTGCACGACTTGGAAAGCTCAGCATTTCCCAGCGAAACATGTAAGGCCGAACTGGAGGACCTTATCGCAAGTATCCTGCACTAGAATTAAATTACCAGGTACAGAAGTGATTACAAACCATCGGCACTTGACCACGTACTTACAAATGAGGCACTCATGATCGACAGACCATTTATAGACACCCCACTGGGGTTAAGCGATTATGTCACTAGACTTTACAACCTACGTGTGTTACGCTATAAATCCTGAGGAGCACACAGAACTAACACATACTATCACACATTACATCTTAAACAACCTATTCGCGAAGACCGATTGGGAATTCTTGAAACGTTGCTCACGTGACAGCGCCTGGATTCAGTTTGTTGGAAGCTTCAGCAATCCAATCGCAACCGCTTCAGAAACGACGAAGGTTCGCTCCAACAATGCCTCGTCTTTCATCAGAAGTAGAACCCACATGCGTCTGTCACTAAGGAACGCAGCTTGGCGCACTTACAGAGCTCGTGCTTGTCACGAAACCTGGAGCGATTATGTGACCCAGTGCAACCACTATAACATACTTGCCGGTGAGGACAAATTGACTCACCGACAACCTTTGGCCTGTAAATTTGCCGCCAACAGAAAGCTCCTATACAACCATTTTAACATCATCCGGAAAGTAAACCTCGGTATCCCACCACTTAACACGCCAGTCGCAGTGGCACAGATTTCCGAAGAGGCAACCAAGGACCCACGAATGCGGTATGGCCCAACCTTTTAAACAAATTTCCGCCAGTGTTACATACCCACATCCTTGGTCCCTACGTCAGTACACACTGACATCGATTTTAATGCTACAGCTGTGTTGAAGAAACTGCTCTCGCTATGCACCTACAGCTCTCCCGCAATCGATCATATTCAACCAAGTGCGCTGAACTTAGCAGCAACAACGCTGGCCGGGCTATGGTCGCATTTCTTCCAAAATTGCGTGAAGAAGAAAATCGTGCCTAAAATTTAGAAACGTGGTTTAATCACTCCAATTTTCCTA